GAGAGAGAGAGAGAGAGAGAGAGAGAGAGAGAGAGAGAGAGAGAGAGAGAGAGCGTGAACTCGCGCGCCGCCACGTAATTTCGTTAATGAGAATCGTTAGGCAGCCAGCCTCTGAGGTTTTCGACCGGAGGCGCCGTCTAATTTCCCTGACGATCGCCCCTGCACCTCTACTCGATGCACTTCCCTCGATTCGAGACGCGTAACGCTAGCCGACCACACTTTATCGAGAGTGCAACGAGAGGGACAAGGATGGTTCACTTTCTACTTGCTAAAGATTTTTACAGTGGTATGATAGAGCAGAGGTTCGAGCAAGTGGTCTATGTAGTAGTCGCTTAAAGAGTGGCTGCACAGTGAATGGACCTATTTCGAGATTTTTGCTTTCGAGGTGATAGAGATGTTGAGAAATGAAGTGAGTTTTGAAAGGTGAACCTTCAAGGGTAAAGTTAGAAGTTGTAGGAGTATGTAGTCTGGGAATAGAATCGTTTGAAGTGTGGCTAGAGCTACTTAGAGCTCTCTATGGTGGAATTTTTAAGCTAGAGGTGTTGGAGATTGTGAGAAATGGAGCAAATTTTGAATGGTGGATATTCAGTGGTGAAATTGGGAATTGCAGGAATATTCTACAGAATTTTCTTCCCCTTTTTGGAACGAAGAATCTTGCAGCGGAGAAGTGGAGTTCGTAAAGTAGAGGGTTTGAGGAATTTCGAATTTCGAAGTAGAGAATTTTCGAAGTAGAAAATGTGCCTGAAATGGCATCTGGAGAATTTTTAAGAGAATCTAAAAAATTTTCACGAGTCCTGGTATTCGAATTCTTACAACCAGCCTTGAGATTTACAGAAGAAGAAGTTTAAAAAATTGCTCAGACGTAAATCTTATATCTGAGAATTCAATTTGTAAAATTGCTCCCCCAAGCAATCTTTCAATTACGAATCTTAAATCCTATTATTAAAATCCCCCGTAAATATCCTCCAGGAAATGTTTCAATTACAAATCTCGAGTTTCTGAATTTTTTCACAAGAACTGTCGTATTAAAAATCTGGAATTTTTTAAAACTTGAAAAAAAAAACATCCTTCATTTCCTGAACCTCTACGAACCATCTTCAAAGCCACAGGAATTCGTTATGCACAGTTTGAACATCGCCAGGCGGCGGTTCGGAAATTTTCAAAGCCCGCCAACCCCGTCACTTGGCGTCGCGACGCGCAGGTAGAAAAAAGTCCGAACGGTAACGAGATTGACGAACGCCGGGCCGCGACATCAAACGGGGATTTACGTGGCCGGAAAACGGGGGCAGGGATTAAAAGATTAGCAAAATTACCGTACCACCCGCTATACTTTCCACTTCAACCCTGACGATACATAATCTTCCCTTCACTGCGCCAAATCTGTTAATCACTTTATCGAATCTTTGATTAACCGTAAAACTATCCTCTACCAAGCTCTATCAACACTCTTATCCGTCCTTTTTCTCATTCAACAATCGCAAATATGCTTTTAACTGGCGCTTTTTAATTAACCCTTTGAGTACTGAACAATCTGGAGAGAAAATTTTAGTTACGAATGCGATATTCCTTTGTATATTTTCTATTATACTGGATATAAATATCGTGGATTTACTGGAAAAACACGCCAAGTCAATATTTATTTTATTTTATTCGTTTAATGAGAATTGCACAAGGTAAACCTTTCGATGCACAAAAGTAAGAGAAGTCTGGAGAAGAAACAGATAGTCTAAATACAGGAAAATCTGTGTAAATAAATAAAAATATACGAAAACTCTTGAAAATATGTGATACGATTTTTCAGAAATTGAAGCCCTTTAATCTATTTTTGTACCGACATTTATGCATAAATAATTTTCAAATAATTCTGAGTGAATAATTTTGCAGTGAAATGATAAAGATTGAGTATAATGTACCTAATTTCACGCCTAAATATATCCACTGATTAACTTTCGCATAAATAAGACTTTTTCCAATAAATTATCTATATAATACGTAAAATGCAGTTGCACGTTTTACCCTTTATTACATAAAATTGAAAGGAACAGGTGAAATAATTTTATTCCAATTAACTACATTCATGGATCATATTGACACCGTTTTATCGAATCTATATACATGTCCGTAATAATCGAAGTGTTACGTACGCAGACTAGCCGACACGGCGGCGCCGAGACATCCGCCGAGAGCTCACCCCCTTGAGATAAAATAAACGAACGCGTTTCGTTCTCATCGGAAAATTAGGGCCCCCACCACCAAAAAATATAGATTTTTGGGTATATAAGGGCATGATTTCCGATGCTCCGGGGCAGTCACTCTGGACAGAGTCACTTTGAACTTTAAAGTAGACCAGTATTCGTATAGTCGCCGTTTGACACAAGCAAGAAAGGGCTGAATTCCCTTTCAAGCAACTGAGTATAATACTTATCTCGTAAGTGTCAACTAGACATACTTGTCTATGACGTCCGTGTAAAGTCGAGAAGGAAGATTCTTGCTCAGCCAAGAATCAACCAAGATACTTTATCTTCAGACCATAGTAAACTTTTGTAAACTCATTGATTATTATTAGAATATAGTTACTGTAGAATTGCTTCAGCCTATATTCAATTAACCATCTCCTTTTTAACATTAGTAACGAATCAGCTAAACTCACAAGGATATATCTTTACCGCTCGAGGTATATCCGACATTACGATACGCACTGTCCTCACAACCACACAACCTTTCCATCCTTCGGAGAACGGCGTAGGAACCACATGCGTCGAAGGTTCCAATCCTATCGGACTTGTTGGAGCACGACGTATCACTCACATACGGTGAACGTTCCGACCGGTCCACCAACCCAAACCAATATTACGCTCCGTGTGAGGGCACACAAGCGTAACTCGTAACAGAAGAATAAATTCCTTTATAAATAAGAATTTTCCCAATAAATTGTATGTAAATACGTAAAACGAGGCCGTACTTTTCACTCTTCGACAGCATTGGTAAAAAACATTTTTACACAAACATCCACGGTATTGAAAGGGTTAATTCATTTGTAGATATTTGCAGATACGAATAATTTTCCCGTAATTCCGAGAATTTCATTTTATTATATCCCTCGAATGGATAAGAAATGTACTCGAGGATCGTGTCAACGTCCCACTCGGCCGCCATTAGTCTAGAAATCTCGTTTCAAGCCGCGTCTTCGCGGATTGCACCTCGGAGCCTCATTCATGTCCGTCGACGCCACTCGTCCTGCCGGCGTCGAGGACGTCCGGCCGATTAAACCGCTCTGAAAAGAGTCCTTTTGTGACCGAGAACCGGGATAATTGACGGGAACGTTCGATTTCCACGACCACCATCCAACATGACGAGTTTCTTTTCCCATGGATCGTTCAATTCGCTCCGAACTGAGACCACTGTGCAAGCCCCGATGATAGTTGTACAGCACAATATATTACCAAGCTGATATTTTATTCCTCTTTACGTGCAATAAAATATGCAAGAATTTGTTGGAGAATTTTGTGATTTTAGCGATAATTAGAAAAAGTTGTGGAAAATTATTGAAAAAATTGTTGAATGTGTATTGTCAAGTAAGAAATGTTTTATTTTACATGTGAGACTGTATCAGGTCTGTGCAAAAGTTGTAAAGGGCACTGTATATTCCTTTTCTTAGTGAAATTTTCACAGTTGATATTTATGATAATACTACACTTAATTCAATATACCGAATATAGTTATTAAGAAGTATATGGTATTAATGTTGTATTATTAGTATTCTTATGAGGATTAATTATAAACATAATAAAATATCACTTCTATTTATTGGATCAGTATTTTTTTAATAAAAATGAATATTTTCGTCAGTATAAATAATTAATCATCAACATTAAATTGCATTTTGTCTATGTTCTGTAATTTGTTTCTTAGTCAATTCAATTTAAATTTTTGGTTAGTTTAGGATATTTCATTATACACACTGACAATGTCTGTGGCGATGGTTGTGGCGATGAACTTTCGAGCTTTGTCGATGTTTGCACGATGTTGTGCATCGACGACTCCTCTCCGACGTCGCGTCTCGGACATCCGTGAGAGGGATTTTTGTTGGGACACGCTGATTGGTTAATGGTTAACGATTGCATTTGCCAATCAGCGTGTCTAATATCGTCTTTACCGTCCTTCCAGTGCGCCCTTAGCGCGCTGTCACCTTGGAAGGGCGGGAGACGGCCGCGAGGGGTGGGCGGAAGGTCCCAAAAATCTGGAATTTCCTCCGGGTGACTAATCGGCAAGCGGGGCCGTTCGGAAATTCGTGGTTTATGGTATGTTCGTAGGCTATTGAGCGCGAGGGACACAAATTACTAAAATTCTAGCAGAGCAATTCTAGTGACCCTCGCAGGATGTAATTAGACTCGTGCAAGCAACAAACGAAAATCCTCAACTCAAAAATAACCGTTCCCGGTCGATCGTGCCATAAACCGTTTCTACAGGAAACCTAACAAATACCGACCTAATAAATAGCAGCTGTAACAAATAAATACACATTTTCTAAAGGAATACGATGAAAACTTCTGCATAGACCTAATAATTTTATAAAAAGATACCTTTTACCGAGTTTCAAGTTTTCATTCGTCTAGATCAGGGGTCGGCAAACTGCGGGCCGCGGGCCAAATGCGGTGTTATGTACTGTTAAATGAAATATTATCCAAAAAGAAAGAATTCCACATTCCTCATTAATAAATGCGTATTACAAATAAAGGATTGGTCCAAAAATTTTAATTTGTAGTTAACTACCTACATACATATGTACATACGTAATAATCTCAATTTTCTCTCTTGGCCCACAAAACCAAAAAAATATTTAGTATCTGGACCCCTGGATCTAGGATCACTGATTTTCAACCAGTGTGCGAAATTTTTTAATACAAGTTAAAACAGTTCTTTGCCAGATCGGCGGAGAAACGTAATATATTTCTTCGTATAATTTTAGTAATTAGTTTATGTGTACCGTGTGATAAAGAAGGTTAAAAATCGCTGATCTAGAGCGTGCAGAAAAATTCTAGAAATGATTTCGTTATATATCGCAGACGCAGCGTAAGAAGCATGACGAACTTAAAATACTCAGAGATTTTACTGCTCTGACTTTCGAAAGCAAGTTTAAAAGAAAAAAGGGTAAAAGAAACCCAACGAAACCCTAAATCAAAGAAGCTTCCTGTCCTGCTACCCCTCTACAAAATACTCAATTTTTCCCAAGGGAAGATGTCTGGCTCGCGACATTCAAGCTTAAAGGCAGCTGATCAAACGAAGTCGCAGCGGCTGACTACGAAAAGCAGCGACCTTTACCTGTTGTCAGTATTAACGTTCTCGAGTGGAGTAATTTCGCGTGCATATACACTGTCGACTAAAAGTTTAATATTCACTTGCCAATTTACTACCAATTTTATTTTATTTTTAACTTTGAATTAATATTACAGGGCGCGATGGTAATTTTCTTCGTTTCGATAATTATAGTAACGAAAAGACTTGGTAATTTTTTGATTAAAATCGTGTGTGACTCGTAAAACTCAGGAGAGTTTGAAAACTCGTATATAAGATGTAGAAATTAATTCGGTACCTTTTTTCATAAACTTCAATGCTTATTTACGCATAATTTTAAGTACCCGTTTATCAGGTAGTACAGCAGTTTTGAGTCGATAAAGTCGTCGGGACTTTATGTGCTTTTGTTTTTATATAGAAAGTGTGGTTAAATAACAATAATTTCATAATAACTATAAACACACGTAAAAAGGAATAATGATAATCTGATCAAAGGTCTCTTATTATATCTCGCAAATATTCTCGCGCACTCACTGATATCAATAATAACGCGGTTCTACTGTTTTACTCCCTGTTTCTCTCTATGATCCGCTCGTTTTCCAAATCTCGAGACGATTCGACAAACACGCTACATTCACGCCATCACTCACAACATATTATTAAACCAATTCCACAGAAAGAAGTTGGAATTGTTACGAAAATAATTAAATTAACAATATTATTTAAACCTTAAACCATAGATACAGTTTTGAATTTCGCGATACAGTGTACTGCTATTAATTTGTATTTCTGCTCTTGGTATTTCAACACATCACTGTTACTTATAATTTAATTGAACAAAAAGATGCAAATATGCAAATTTATTTAAAAAATTCAAAGAGTTAAATGTAATCAACTCCCACACTTTTCCAGTGAAACTTTTGAAAATGAAGAGTTCTGTTTTGAAAAGAAGAAATTAAAATTATCAAAAATATTAAACTTTTTTAAAATCATTAAATGAATTAAAATTGATAAAAAGTTAAACCTATTCCAATTCTGTACTTAATGCTTAATTTATTTATCTCTACTTCATTTGTTAATTATGAATTTATCCATCTCTATTTCTTCCGTCAATTTTCTTTATTTTAATATAAATGAAACTCGAAGAAAGTTACGGTGCACGTTACCGCCGTAGGGGTGGCTAGTAGTGTTGAAACGGTAGTTAAGTTAATTTCCTACTCGTACACCTTTGACAGTGAACGTGTTAAAATTGCTAATTTGATTTTCTCCAAAAAAAATTCTTCTTTAATTTCCAATGCACCAGCGGTGCGAAACTTTTAGCCCACAGTGTACATGTAGGTACGTAGAAACGTGGCAGAAGAAGAGTCGCGGTGGTGAAGTGATTAAAATCGTGAAAATGGTTACGAGGAAGGTACTCACTGTGAAATCTGCCCCCTCTCGTCGACAGGACCTGGTGCAGCCGTTGAAGAGTTTCTTTGGTGGCTTTCTCATGTTTGTCACGTGCCCTCGCCTGCAGTCTCACCTCCATGTCCGCGGAACAGCACACCTCGCCGCCGCTACTCGCGCTGCCGCATATTTTCAGCTCCTTTGCTGGAAAAACGCACGGAAAACGAGATTAAAGCCAGATGGATACGCACACGACCGTCGTCTACCTTCTTTTACGTTTCGAGCCGCGGTGAAAAGGAGAACATTCGAATATGTCTTTTTCAGCTTGTTTCAAGCCAAGCTGATTTATTCTTTGACGATAATTATTATCATAATGAAACCTTGTCACTTTGAACTTCTTTTGGGTTGAAGCATTTTTTTTTTGAGGGGGGGAAATTTTTTAATTGTTACAAGGTAGTTGATTGAATCTTTGCGCTGGTGACTGTGAAAGTGACCTAACTCACATATTTTATGTTTCGATTTTATCGTTGATTTATTTTTCGATGATTATTACTATAATGCAACCTTGTCACTTTGACTATTCTTCGGTTGAAGACTTTCTTTTGGAATTTTTGTAAATTGTTACAGGGTGGTCAATTAAATATTTGTGCTGGTAATTATGAAATTGGCCTAAGTCAGATATTTCACGTTTCGAGATATTTCAGGGCAAGTGAGAATAATTCGAATATCTTTTTCAGCCTGTTTCAAGGTAAGTCGATTTATTTTTCGATGATAATTGTTATCATAATGAAACATTTTCACTTTGAACTCCTTCGTTTTCTATTATTAGGGTCGAAGCGGAAAACCAAACGTGCTATTATTCCTAAGAAACGATTAGATGTGCTTGTTTACGTGGCAAACTGACACGTGGCTGTTCTCCGTAAAACAAATGAACGTCGTTAATAATCAATTTTTTTCTTCACACGTTATTTTACCTTTCATTATTTTTACATTACCACCGACATATATTTCCTCCTATCTCCTTTAGCTTCTTTATCTAACCCTGGAAGCTTCCGGTAGCCAAGGGGAAAGCAGTTTCCGCCCCGAAGGGCTGCTGGTAGCCTCGATGATCACGAAAAATTGATTCCCGTACGGCCGACCGAGCGAACAAAAGCTTTTCCTCGTCGGCGAAATTCGATTTTCCGTTGTTCAGGAGACATTGTCGAGGACCAATGGCACAGAAAGCACTGTTCTCGCGTGAATTTCCACGAATTTCTTCGAGTTACTTGCCCCTTACAACCTGGACCTAACTCAACTGCAATTTTTCCCGACGGTCCTGAAGAAAATTTACGCTCATCTTCGGTTATTTTTCTTTTAGACACTGGAACCTTTTATTTCCAACATTTCTACGGGTTAGATTCGTTTTCACCGTTAAGTTAGGCTAGGTTCAGGATTAACCCTAGGAAATCCAAATTTGTTGGAAGGGTTAATTTAATTTCAATTAAGAAAAAAAAAAGAAGAGAGACGTGATATTTAAATCTACAATAATATTAAGTTTTATTCATTTTCTGACAGAAAAACACATTATTGACGGCGTATACAAGCTATTTTATGAAGAAAATTAAAACTTCTCACAAGTTTATGAACATTTTTTTACCTTCTCCAAAGTAACGGAACGAAGCATGAAGAAGTTATGTACGAATGCAATTGAATCTTTCAAATATCAAAGAAATTTTTCGTCAAATATTTCTTCTATATTTTTCACTTTTCTAATTAAATTTTTCTGCATTTTTAACAGCGGCAAATTATCGTCGAGTCTTCGTTTAAACAAATCTACCACTTTTCTATTCCAAAATAAAGACACCAGGTAATTTTGATCCAATCGAAACCGTCCAAACTACAGATTGACGTAAATGGTATGATAAATATGATGACTGATCGCTGGTGGTAGCAACTGTGCCAAATGAGGACAAATCGAATTAGTTTAATCATTCCAATTGACAGGTATTAGGAGCTCGCAAGCTACAGCCATTGTAATAAATATATTTATCTGATCGAATGCAACCTGTTTCGATTATCGATCATTTTACCCAGTCTGAATCTAGAAACAGAGAGATTGCAATCTTAATCAAATTACAATGAATGTGATCTTCTCGAAAAAAAGAGGGGAAAAAGAGAAATAAGTAAAAATCGATTTCAATTTGAATAAATTTAGTTTCTTGTATCTGATAGAGTGGAGGTTTGAAGTTAGAAGAAGATCGATCAGAAATGGAAAAACAGTCTCAGGGTAAGACGCTTCGATCGAGCCTGAGTGTGTTTGAAGAAGAAATAGTGACGAGCAACGGGGCAAGGCTTTCGTCTCTGGCAAATGCAATTTAGTTTTGAGAATCGCTGTCACGATGGCAGTGTACACAAGAGGTGAACAGAGGATCAAGGCTGGCGTTGTTTCATTTTGGGACGTGGATTTCGCGATTTCTTCTTCTCGTGACGAGAATAAAATTTCGAGAAGAACGATCGAATACAAAATTTCTGTGCCACTTTTCTCCTAGCTAAATTCTACTCTTTCGTATAATCCTGGGGTATGTTAGATCAAAATTTTTCTTCGTTCGAGACATAAGTGTAATATGTTTTATTTATTGTCTCATTTCAGCTGGCAGATTTTGAAATTCTCTTATCTTTCTCGCAAATTGAAACTAGTATTAAAATTAAAATAAATTTGTGTTGCTAATGTAACCGTTTTAATTGCACCTTGACCAGAATCTGTGCCATGAGTCAGACTCGTTGTCACAAGGGTTGAGGTGTTTACAAATAGATGAAGTTTGCGAATTTTTTTTATAGGTAACTGCTAAATGAAAAGTTTCAATTTTTTCACAGAATATAAATGCAACTTTCAGTTTTTAAAAAGTACAAATATTGCAATAAAGGAAATGAAAATATATATTATATTTTCCTAATAATATAGTTTCTTTTATCCATTTTGTGTGGGTACTTAAATTCGAAGAAAGAAGTTGGAATTGTTACGAAAATAATTAAATTAACAATATTATTTAAACCTTAAACCATAGATACAGTTTTGAATTTCGCGATACAGTGTACTGCTATTAATTTGTATTTCTGCTCTTGGTATTTCAACACATCACTGTTACTTATAATTTAATTGAACAAAAAGATGCAAATATGCAAATATACCTAAAAAATTCAAAGAGTTAAATGTAATCAACTCCCACACTTTTCCAGTGAAACTTTTGAAAATGAAGAGTTCTGTTTTGAAAAGAAGAAATTAAAATTATCAAAAATATTAAACTTTTTTAAAATCATTAAATGAATTAAAATTGATAAAAAGTTAAACCTATTCCAATTCTGTACTTAATGCTTAATTTATTTATCTCTACTTCATTTGTTAATTATGAATTTATCCATCTCTATTTCTTCCGTCAATTTTCTTTATTTTAATATAAATGAAACTCGAAGAAAGTTACGGTGCACGTTACCGCCGTAGGGGTGGCTAGTAGTGTTGAAACGGTAGTTAAGTTAATTTCCTACTCGTACACCTTTGACAGTGAACGTGTTAAAATTGCTAATTTGATTTTCTCCAAAAAAAATTCTTCTTTAATTTCCAATGCACCAGCGGTGCGAAACTTTTAGCCCACAGTGTACATGTAGGTACGTAGAAACGTGGCAGAAGAAGAGTCGCGGTGGTGAAGTGATTAAAATCGTGAAAATGGTTACGAGGAAGGTACTCACTGTGAAATCTGCCCCCTCTCGTCGACAGGACCTGGTGCAGCCGTTGAAGAGTTTCTTTGGTGGCTTTCTCATGTTTGTCACGTGCCCTCGCCTGCAGTCTCACCTCCATGTCCGCGGAACAGCACACCTCGCCGCCGCTACTCGCGCTGCCGCATATTTTCAGCTCCTTTGCTGGAAAAACGCACGGAAAACGAGATTAAAGCCAGATGGATACGCACACGACCGTCGTCTACCTTCTTTTACGTTTCGAGCCGCGGTGAAAAGGAGAGCATTCGAATATGTCTTTTTCAGCTTGTTTCAAGCCAAGCTGATTTATACTTTGACGATAATTATTATCATAATGAAACCTTGTCACTTTGAACTTCTTTTGGGTTGAAGCATTTTTTTTTGAGGGGGAAATTTTTTAATTGTTACAAGGTAGTTGATTGAATCTTTGCGCTGGTGACTGTGAAAGTGACCTAACTCACATATTTTATGTTTCGATTTTATCGTTGACTTATTTTTCGATGATTATTATTATAATGCAACCTTGTCACTTTGTCTATTCTTCGGTTGAAGACTTTCTTTTGGAATTTTTGTAAATTGTTACAGGGTGGTCAATTAAATATTTGTGCTGGTAATTATGAAATTGGCCTAAGTCAGATATTTCACGTTTCGAGATATTTCAGGGCAAGTGAGAATAATTCGAATATCTTTTTCAGCCTGTTTCAAGGTAAGTCGATTTATTTTTCGATGATAATTGTTATCATAATGAAACATTTTCACTTTGAACTCCTTCGTTTTCTATTATTAGGGTCGAAGCGGAAAACCAAACGTGCTATTATTCCTAAGAAACGATCAGATGTGCTTGTTTACGTGACAAACTGACACGTGGCTGTTCTCCGTAAAACAAATGAACGTCGTTAATAATCAATTTTTTTCTTCACACGTTATTTTACCTTTCATTATTTTTACATTACCACCGACATATATTTCCTCCTATCTCCTTTAGCTTCTTTATCTAACCCTGGAAGCTTCCGGTAGCCAAGGGGAAAGCAGTTTCCGCCCCGAAGGGCTCGAAGTAGCCTCGATGATCACGAAAAATTGATTCCCGTACGGCCGACCGAGCGAACAAAAGCTTTTCCTCGTCGGCGAAATTCGATTTTCCGTTGTTCAGGAGACATTGTCGAGGACCAATGGCACAGAAAGCACTGTTCTCGCGTGAATTTCCACGAATTTCTTCGAGTTACTTGCCCCTTACAACCTGGACCTAACTCAACTGCAATTTTTCCCGACGGTCCTGAAGAAAATTTACGCTCATCTTCGGTTATTTTTCTTTTAGACACTGGAACCTTTTATTTCCAACATTTCTACGGGTTAGATTCGTTTTCACCGTTAAGTTAGGCTAGGTTCAGGATTAACCCTAGGAAATCCAAATTTGTTGGAAGGGTTAATTTAATTTCAATTAAGAAAAAAAAAAGAAGAGAGACGTGA